CGATCCAGAATCATCAGAGGCGTTCGGCTGAATCTGGAGCTCTGAACACAGTTAGCTACTCAAGCTAGATCTACAAAACTATTCGTATGCGACCGATTTTTTTCGAATGGTAATGCATTTCTTCACTTCACTCGAGCTGAAAATGAGCTTGAGAGCTCATCTGTCCAGAAATACCTCGTGGAGCTCTCCGCCAAGATGAGAGAGGAATTCGGGCGCAGGGTGGAGCTAGTTGGCAGACCCGACCTTAAGAGACAATGTGATAACATCGGGTCGGTTTTTCTATCTTTGTGCAAAATTTGAAAGTTCATTTTGAGAACCGGTATTTTTCTCACGTGTAGTGGGTTATGCCGCGTCTGCCAGTCCAATTCTCAGGTCCGTAGCTGCAGCATTATTATGAAAACACTTGAGGGAACCGACGTTGGATGAAAACCGAAAAACATATTTTTTGAGATTTTTTCTTCAAGCTTGAGAAAGCTTGTTCCGTCTGTTCGGAGCAGCGCCGCGCGAGAAACGAGCTCTACGAGGCTTCCGGCGGTTACCTGGTTGACGGTTTACCGCCGGATCCCAGTTCTATTTTCTGGCTGGGTCGCCAACTGGCGCCGGCGGTGAACCGTCAACCTGGTCACCGCCGGGAACCTCGTAGAGCTCCTTGCACCCGTGAGAATGCTCAGGATCGGAGCGGAGAGCTTCTCGGAGCATTTCTAGAAAAACGGCAAATTAAGATTTTTCGGACTCAACATAAAGTCGGTTCCGGGAAGTGAACTAATACTAAAAGTGTCTCTAGAGAGCTGGGCTGCTCTGGGAACAAAGTTTATATGCTAATGCTCGGCTTAAAAATCTGGCTTCTCAAAATGAATGGTCAAATATCTTTCAAATCTTAGCAACACCGACCCAAAGTTACCACGTTGTCCGTTCTGGTCGGGTCGGCCGACTAGCTCCAGCCTGCGCCGGAATTCCTCTAGCTCATCGATAACTAGCGCCGGCGGTGAACCGTCAACCTGGTCACCGCCGGGAACCTCGTAGAGCTCCTTGCACCGGTAAGAGCGCTCAGCATCGAAGTGTGGAAATAAAATGAAGTTTTTTTTTTTTTTTTTTTTTTTTTTGATTTTCCTGTTAGCTCGGTTCCAGGAAGTCAACTCATAATAAAATGCATCAGGAAAGCTCAGCTGTTCTCATAATGAAGCTTATTTGCAAATGCTCAGCGTAACAATCTGCTTTCTCAAAAAAAAACCAAATATCTTTCAAATCTTCGCACAACCGACCCAAAGTTAACACTTTGTCCTTTCTGGCCGGGTCGACCAACTAGCTCCGCCCCGCCCCGGAATTCCTCTAGCTCATCGGGACCCCGGGGAAGGGATCAAAGGGAAGAGGCTTCCCTTGGAATCCCTTGCGACGTTTTTTGATGTCCGTCTGGCTGGATCGCTGAAGTCAGCCAGGGCGCAGCCAGACAATGTTTCCATTGGTTGTGATCTTCCAGGCTCGTGGCACATTATCATACCGCTGTAGCGCAGGCCACTTTTTCTCTGCCTAGATGTGCCCCACCCTGCATGAGGTCGAATTCTGGACGCTGTTGCCCCGTTCTCATGCAGTTTCAGTTTTGTGCCTTGGGCCATGACCATTCGCTCGCCCCTTCAGTCACGCTGGCACCGCTCGGCCTCCACTGGTGGCCAGCCAGTGAACACGAGGTTGCGCGCAACTCACCCGACCTGAGCCATCCGGTCGAGGGGGGGTTGCTTCAATGTAGGCCCTCGGGTCTCTGTGCAGCGGGTGGCGTTTGGGGCAAGGTTCATGAGCGTGTCGCGGCGGTGTAGAACCCCTCAGCACTCGTGTTCTGTTTTGTAGAGCTCCGTTCCCATTGCCATCGTTCTGTTCAGTTTGCAGGAGGACGATGAGGCGAAACACGGGGGCGGGACGAGGGCTTCCGTCAGGGCGAGGAGGACAGGGCGAGGGGGAGACAGGAGGAGGGCCTCCGCTGTCACGAGGACGACGTGGATTGTAGCTGTTGCATCATTTCGGATGATTATCGTGCGGGGTCTTACCGTCGGAGTAATTTAAGCAAGGCGCACTTGCGTCCATACCTCTTGAACACATCGACGTTGCAAGGCTGAGGATGCGCCTGCGCGCGAGCGGTCCGCGTGGTCTCGTGCGGTCGATGTGTGGCACGTTTTTTTCCAGCGAGCACGCGCATGCAACGACCTGAACACGGCTGGTCCCCCAGCGGGGAACATCCGCACTCGAATGGATCATGTTGTGGAGCTATGCTCCTGCCCTCTTGTGCCCTCTTGGAGCTCGTGGGGCCTCCTTGGGGTTCTCTTAGGGATCTTTCGGGGCCTTTTGGATGCTTCGGAAGCCCTCTTGGAGGCCCCTTGGGGCCATAGTGGGTTCGTTGGGGCGAACATTTGGAAATGTCAGTTCGTGTTCTCTCTCAGTGACCCCTCTTGTGGCCTTCTCGGGGTTCTTTCAGCCGTTTTGAGGGCCTCTTGGGCCGTCCTGGGCCCCCCGCTGAAAAGCTTTTGGAGACCTCTTGGGCCATTGGGGGGCGATCTTGGGCCCCCTCTTGGGTCGTTTTGGAGAGAGCGCGACCACTTTTTGAGCATCTCATGGCGACCAACGTTGGTTTGCCTTGGGGGCATTCTTGGAGGCCCTCTTGGCACCCTGTTGTGGTGCCTGCAGGGCTTTTTGGATCCATCTTGACTCGTCTGGTTGCCGTCTTCGGCCGTCTGGGGCTCATCTTGGGGACAGCCGGGGCAGTCTTGATTCGCCCTTCAGCCATCTTTAGCCATATGGGGCCGCCACTGAGCCTTCATGATGATCGGGGTCGGCAGTGTTTCGCGCTTCTTACCTTTTCGAAGATCTCTTCCGCGGCTCCCGTTGGCCTACTCAGGCTACAGCAAGCCGTCCAGTCTGCCTGTCCTGTTTTTGGTCTTCCAATCGCTTTTATTCTGCCAGCTTCCGAGGGGCCCAACGCTGCAAGGTCCGCATGGGGCCCTCCGTATTGAGCCCGCAGAGCGGGAGTGACCACGGGCCCTCAAGGGGACGCTCGAACGCAGATTTTGAAATCGGTGGGTGTTTGGGGCACGGCTTCGACGAGGATTGGTACCGCTCGTGCCATTTCTTCATCGGGCCCTTGCTGGCGTCCCTGGTGGGGGGACGCAGGCGGCCTTCGGAGCCAGCAGAGGGCCTCTGGGGGCCCATGGGGTACGAAGTGCGCGAGAGGTGTGCGGAGTCGAAGCTCGTTTGAGCCGTCAGAAGGGATCAGCTGAGGGCCCCTTGGAGTCCACGAGGTACGAAGTTCGTGGAGGGTGTGCCGAATCGAGGTTCCCTTGAGCTGTCTCGAGGGCCAGCGGATCGCCCCTGGAGGTCCATGAGGCACGACATGCGCGACGGGGTCGGCAAGATGTAAGCTCCAAGGAGCAGTCTTGAGAGTCAGCTGGGCGCTCATGATGCACGAAGTGTCTGAGGGGTTGCTGGTTTGGAGGACCGATCCCTAGCATTTTCTCGTCTCCCAGAAGCCTGAGGACCCAACACTCCTGGTTCAGCTCTGAGGGGTCGTCCTGGGGGGTCTGTCGGGTCGTCTTGAGACCTCTTTGGGCCGTCTTGGAGCCGCCTTGGGGGCTCTTTGAGCCATCTTGAGAGCCTCGTGTGCCGTCTTTGGCCATCTTGGAGGCCTCTTGGGCCGTCTTACAGTTGCGGAAGCCCGGCTTCGAAGCCATATCGGGGATTTGTTGGACGTTTCAGGAAACCCCGAAGAGGCTGCAAGGCGCCCAGAGACCCTCGCGAGGGCGGGCGGCGATCCATGCGAGAAAGCGTGATGAGAGAGGGGGGTGCTGGGCCCTCAGACTTACAGGAACCCTATCAGACTAGTGATCGTTTTTTTATTCATTGTTTTGCCGATCGGCGCGGGCCCCCAAACCCCTCCCTGGAGTAGATCTTGGCTGTTTTTTGACACCCGTTTCGAGCGGGTGGAGTCTCCTTCAGAGTCCGCACTCTTGCAAACGGTCGCACTGAGCAGAGGTCTGGAGCCAGAGACCCCCCCTTCCGCCCGATGTCGGCACACCGCATAAGCAAACGCCCACCTACCTCATGGCATCCTGCCACGCCTCGATGCCCAGGCGAGCACCCGGAGAGCCCAGCCCAGCCAGCGCCACGGAGTGGGCGCGCGAGGCGAGCTCTGGGCGACCTCCGGACACGCACCCGGGGAGACCTGGGAGCCCACCCCGCCCGTTTCGCACCGGCGCAGCAGGGGTCCCTCGGTTCTGCCGGCGTGTTTACGGGCTTCCTGGACGTCCGAGGAGGAAAAGGTGCCGCTACCGCTATCGCTTCCCCTCGCTTTCCCCGTTCCCTCGGCGTCTGGGAGGCCCTCGTCGCCACCGCCGGATTCGCCTCGAAGTCCCGGTTAGCACGTACACGGGGAGAGGTCCGGGGAGTAGCGGTATCGGTACCTTTAGTTATCCCAAAAGCAGCGTGTTCCTGGCCTCCCAGATGGGGTGCAGACCAGGTGGGGGCGGAGGATCGCGCCGCATCGCCGATGCATCGGCGATGCGGTTGGATGTGGAGCCCGATTTTGTCCACGCCGACGTCGCCGATGCATCGCGAATGCGTCGGCGACGCGTCGCCAAGGCATCGGCGATGTGGCGCAATTCTCTGACCCCATCTACTTTCACCCTATCTAGGATGCCTTCATTTTCTGGAAGCTGTTGACGGGAAAATGCCATTCCCAGCTTGCTAATCTCGCAAGAGCGATGCATGATGAGGATCACGCTGATCGATTGCTGAAGCCTGGTCTGCGCAGTCGGACGGTCCCTGCAAGGGGTGCCAGCGGATATGTAGCCAAAGGGCTACGCCATCGTTTTTCTTGACATATGCCCCGCGCGTGGGAGTTGGTTGTCACTTCGCTCGCTGCCACTCGTGTGTTCGGAGATCAGAAGTTTATCCCTTGTGATCGCTCATATTTACGCGTAGTTTTGCGGCGCTTCCTGACTCTGCATTCCCATTTGGTCCAAGCCACCAAGATTCACGACTGGTCATCCCCTTGAGACCCGAGCTCACTGGGACAACTACTGTTGATCTCTTTGATTCGAGCTCTCGTTAGCGCGATGTCCGAGAAGCGCGTGGATCCCGAGGACGGCACTGCGTACACCTTCGAGGAGATTTCGGCGTTCTACAAGGGGAAGTACAAGAAGAGCGAGGTAAAGGCGTACTGGGAAGACACATGCAAACCGGTGAAAGGAAAAGGAAAGGGCAAAGGCAGCAAGGGCGAGGCGAAGGCGAAAAGTAAGGCCAAAGCCGAGCCCGAGCCGAAGGGGAAAGCCAAGGCAAAGACGAAAGCCAAGGCCAAAGCCGATGCCGAGCCAAAAGCGAAGGCGAAGGTGAAGGCCAAGGCCAAGGCCGAGCCTGAGCCCAAGGCCACGTCCGAGCTGGGTAAGCCCGCGGGCCCAGGGCAGAGCCGGTCGGGGCGGCCAGTGAACGTGGCTGCGCTGATGAAGGTCACGAAGGACGATCTGGGCCTGCTGCCTCAGCCCCTCAAGCCGCGTTTCAAGACGGCGCTCGTGGGCATCTACGTCCGCTCCCAGCCAGGCGGCGGCACCGACAAGAGCTCCAACGGCCAGCGATACGACTCCATCCCGTTCGCCAACGGGGTGATCACGGCCGGCATGAGCTGCCAGCTGATCAACTATGTGCACGAGGAGCACGACACGTTCTTCGAGGTGGTCAAGGGGTTCGACGCCCTCATCGTCCGCTGCAACCCCGGCCAGATCAAGGCGGACGGTGGCAGCCAGGAAAAGTTCGACGACAGCCTGCGCGTTCTGCGCAAAGCGGGGATGCAGGTGTGGCCCTCTCCCGACGTGATGGAGTTCATGGGCGCAAAGGACGCGCTGTGCAAGATCGCGACCATGAGCATCGGCCTGGAGGACACTCTGGCCTACTACGACCCGACCGTGTTTGCGGAGGGCTTCAAGAAGACCATGGCCTTCCAGCCACGCGTGATCAAGCAGAACCGCGGCTCGTCTGGGGAGGGCATCTGGATCATCAAGCTCAAGTCCGGGGAGTACTGCAAGGCGTTCGGCGAGCGCAGCTGCGCCGACGACGAGATGCTGGACCTGATGGAGGCCAACGACAACCACTCCGAGGAGCACACGGTGGGACAGTTCATCGAGTTCTGCATCAATGGGCGCAATGCCAAGTCGGGCGAGTGGACCTCGAAGGGCGTGGGCAAGTACCTCGAGGGCGGCAAGGCGGCCGGGGGTCAGCTGGTGGACCAGCGCTTCTGCCCGCGCATCGTCGAGGGCGAGCTGCGGTACAACATGGTCGGCGACACGCTCGTGGGCATCATCCACAAGAAGCCCAAGGAGGGCGGCATCTCTGCCGTCGGCGGGACAGGCTCGGTCTACACGTTCTACGGGCCGAAGGAGAAGAAGTTTGCGTCCCTGACGAAGAGCTTCTGCACAGTGGACCTGCCCAAGATCATGCCCGCCCTGGGTCTTGAGGCCGAGCCCATTCCACTCTGGTGGACCTCCGACTTTATCAATTCTTCGCCCCCTGGCACCGCCGCCAAAGACGAGAAGTGGATTGTGGGCGAGTTCAACTGCTCCTGTGTGGGGATCTCCAAGTGCCTCCCAGCCTGCGTCACCGCGGACGCCCCGACCGCCTGCTACACCGACATCCCCAAGAAGGACGGGGCGGAGGTGAAGAGGCTCGGCGATCTTGTGGGGCAGAAGGCCCTCGGCATCCTGGCGAAGATTGCCAAGGAGAAGGCGAAGCCAGCTGGGGTTGGCGAGTACTTCTCTGCCGGGCCTGTCGATGTTTCCTCCCTTACGAAGATCTCTAAGGACGACCTCGGCCTCCTGCCGCAGCCGGCCAAGCCGAGGTTCAAGACAGCTCTAGTCGAGGTCAGCGTCCGCAGCAACAAGTACGGCGGCAGTGACAAGAGTTCCAACGGCCACCGCTACGACTCGATTCCGTTCGCGAACGGCTTGATCTCCGCAGGCCTGAGCTGCCAGATGATCCACTACGCGCACGAGGAGCACGACAAGTTCTTCAAGGTAGTCGAAGCGTTCGACGCCCTCCTCGTGCGCTGCAACCCTGGCCAGATCAAGGACGACGGTGGCAGCCAGGAGAAGTTCGACAACAGCATGCGGGCCCTGCGCAAAATGGGGAAGCAGGTGTGGCCCTCCCCCGACGTGATGGAGTTCATGGGCGCAAAGGACGCGCTGTGCAAGATCGCGACCATGAGCATCGGCCTGGAGGACACTCTGGCGTACTACGACGCGGCGGCGTTCGCGGAGGGCTTCAAGAAGACCATGGCCTTCCAGCCGCGTGTGATCAAGCAGAACCGCGGCTCGGCTGGGGAGGGCATCTGGACCGTGGCGGTGAGCAATCGTCGGGTCGCGCGACAGGGCGGGACAGGCACAGAGGGGTTGCGAGATCTGCAGCACGCAGCTGGTTTCGGCCTCGTCGCTGGGCGCCTTCTCGGCACGCGGTCGCATCGTGCTCGCAGAGATGCGCCGCGAAGACCGGCCGAGCGAGCTCGTGAGCTGATTCGCGGACCCCCCCTCCTCCCCCTCCTCCTCCTCCTCCTCCTCCTCCTCCTCCTCCTCCTCCTCCTCCTCCTCCTCCTCCTCTTCCTCCCCCTCCTCTATCCTCTATCCTCTATCCTCCATCCTCTCTTCTCCTCCTCCTTCGCCTCCTCCTCTCGCCAACCCGCTTCTTCTGCCTGCCTCGAGGACGGGGCAGGGTGCACGGCGGCCCTCTTCGGGGAGGGCCCCCCCTTCCTCTGCAGAGGTGTGCTGGCCAGGGGCAACGTCAGGGGGGGGGGGCAGGCTCAGGCGATTGGACGCATCGACCGCCAATCGCCCGTGGTTGTCGATAGGGGGCTCGCTAGCACACCCCGCCCAGCAGCGTGCGGATTTCCTACCAGGGGCCTGCCGCCGCTCCGTCGGCGAAGCATCGCCATCCTGAGTCGGTCCCCCCTGTCGTTCCCCCTCCGAGTGTGGAAGGGGGGAGGCACGGCCTCTCGAGTGGGCGTCGCGCTCCACTCCTCCTCCTCCGCCTTCGCCTCCTCCTCCTCCTCCTCCTCCTCCTTCTCCTCCTCCTCCTCCTCCTCTTCCTCCTCCTCCTCCTCCTCCTCCTCGTCGAGGGGGAAGGCAGCGCCGCGCCCGCGCGGCCACGAAGACGATGCCGCCCCGCGCGTCGAGGCCGGTGCCCGCAGGGCCGTCCCCTTGCGGGGCGGCGGCGCCGCGGGGGGCACCTGCCGCGCTTCGAGCCAAGCAGTGGCGAAGCGTCCTGGCCCGCCTATAGGCCCACCACAGGATGTTCTCAGAGCCTTTTGGGGCCTGCCCGGAGTGTTCTTTAGAGCATTTGTGACTGGGCCTGCCTCGTCGGAGCGCATCGGGCTTCTGTTCCGAGCACACTCTTTTTTTGTTCCCGAGAGCATGTTCTGGGTCCGAAGAGCATGTCGTGGTGGGCCTACAGGAAAGCCGCGGCGGCCGGTCCCCGCTCCATCGAGGGCGCCGCGCGGGGCTCGCGAGGCGCGAGAGCCGAGCGGCTTTTGGCCCGGTGCTGCCACCTCGGCGGGCCGGAGGTGGGCCCCCCCGGAGAGGTGGGGGGCCCTTTCGGTCGCAGAGCCCTGGGGGCTTCGTGTATCTCTGCGATTCCGCTCTTCTGGAGCGCGATCGCGTCGATCAGCGTCTGGCAGTCGATGATGCCGCGCCGGCTCAGCGTCGGCGGGTGTCGACGAGCGTCGGTTTCGCGCCGATGCGCGTCGGCCAGCGTCGATCCGCGGGAGCCAGCAAGACTGCACGGGAGGCCCCCAGGAGCTCCTGCAGAAGGCCCTGAGGACGAGCACCTCAAGCAGTGGAGGCTCATTGAGACACCTCCTGCCCTTCGGGCCCCCTCCCTCGGAGCCCCCTCTTTAAACCGGCGACCCTCTGCCCTCCGCCGAGGATCATCAAGCTCAAGTCCGGGGAGTACTGCAAGGCGTTCGGCGAGCGCAGCTGCGCGGACGACGAGAAGCTGGACCTCATGGAGGCCAACGACAACCACTCCGAGGATGGGGGCGCGAGCGGCGGCGCGGTGCATCAGCGGGGGGTCCTGTTGAGTGTCAGGCAGCCTCAGGATGCGGCTTTGTAGCGGTTGCGGCGCCCGGTAACTACTCTGTCCAGGTCCGCCCGTTCTGCCAGATCGGGTAATCATCGGTGCCCAATGTTGCATGTGTTCTTGTTGTTGTTGTTGTTGTTGTAGTTGCTTGTAGGCGTGTCTGTGTTTTCGCAACTTGGGCGCTATGCGGGATCTCTCGTTCTCTCTCTGTCTCTCTTTCTGTCTCTCTCTCTCTCTCTCTCTTCCAGCTCTTCGGGGCTCCGCTTGGAGATATCTCGGGCGATGTTGAAGCCACCGTGCGGTCTCAGAAGCTCCCAGGAGACAAAAGGGGGAGCAACTTAAACTCATTGTTAAAGCTTGGCGTTCTAAAGGATTTGAGCATCCTGCGGGCCTCTCGAGGGCTGTCTCGGACCATCCTGGGCTACCTTGGAGCCTTTTGGGGGTGTCTTGGGGGTCATCTTCATAGATCCCCAGTCTCATGCGGTTCTGGGGCACCATGGGGTCTCTCTGCGGCCTCTCCTGGGCTGCGAGTCATCGGAGCCCTCTTGGAGCCCTTCCAGCCCACTACCGGGGCCATCTTGGGCGATGTTGGAGCCATCTTGCGGTCTGGAAGGCCTGTCGAAAGAACAGAACGCTGAGAAAGCCGGAACTACTGAAAAAGACGGTGGGCGCCTCTTGGGGGCTGTCTGGGATCATCTAGGGTCACCTCGAGGCTATGTTGGGGCGGCTCGGGGCTGTCTTGGGACCATCTTGGGGCCTGCCACCCATTGATCCCCCCTCCTTGGCTGGTGCTGGGCACTCTCAGAGCTATCCTTCGCCTCCTCTGGGACGTTCTCGGGAATCTTCGGAGCCCTCTTTGGCCTTGTCCAGGCCCTTCTTGGAGCCATCTTGGGCGATCGCGGGGGCATCTCGAGGCTAGAGGAGTTTTAGGATTCACACAAAAGGTGAGACGCCGACATCAATGAACAGCGTTCAGGTTTCGAGTGCTTTTTGACCTCTTGGGGCCTCCCGGGGGCTGATTTGGACTATCCTGGACCCTCCCCTGCCACCCATTGATTCCTGCTCCTGTGCTGCTCAAGGGGTCTCTGTTTCTTAGACAAGCTGTTGAGCTCTTCAGTGCTCGTAGCGTCAGTAGACGGCCCGCTAGTCTGACGCCTCATCGTCCACACGGAGGAAGCACACTCGCCAGCAGCCCGAAGCGCACTCGCCAACAGCCCTTGGCGATGGAAGTACTCAGTGCGATCCAGGCAGGAGTGCAGCTAGTTCTTGGGCTCTGTTGGAGCTCACCTGGGGCGATCCTGGGGCTGTCGTGGTTCCTCAGGGCCGCGCCCGGGAAGGAAGCCATCATCGATCCGACCTTGCAAGGGGGACCATGCGGGGGTTCTGCTGGTCCGGGGATCCAGGACCCTGGGGCCGCCCCGCACGCGCCCACCAGTATTATACAAGCATTCTGAACCTCCTACCCTAGACCTTAGCACGCCCTTGACCCAGTGGGCCCGCGAATTTGCTCGGCGTCCGTTCTGTTCGAGCGTCTCCTCTGAGGAGCACACGGTCGCAGAGTTCATCGAGTTCTGCGTCAACGGGCGTACGGGCAAATCGGGCGAGTGGACCTCCAAGGGCACGGGCAAGTACCTCAAGGGTGGTAATGTCCTGTGGAGGACGAGGGTCATTAGCTGGAAGGGTGCAGTTCGTACGGACACGTTGTGAAGCTGTATGAAGCAAGGCTGAGTGTGAGACAAGAGCACGGTATGGTTGAGGATGTGGAGGAGGAGGTGGAGGCGCAGGTGGAGAGCAGCTGGGTGCATGAGGACCTCTGAAGAGTACCTCCACATGGGCGGGCAGGTATCTCGACGGATGAGGTGGAGTTGAGGAGGGCGGGTGGGAGGAGGAGGAGAAGGAGGAAGAGGAGGAGGAGGAGGAGGAGCAGGAGGAGGAGGAGGACGAGGAGGAGGAAGATGAGAAGGAAGAGGACCCACTCGGGTGCCCCCGAGCTTTTCTGGGGACGAGGAGGATGAGGAGACCAGCATGAGATGAGGAGGAGGAGGATGAAGAGGATGAAGAGGATGAGAAGGAGGAGGATGAGGAGGAGGAGGAGGACGACGACCGAGGGAGCGGACAGGTACCTCGAGGGCGGCAAGGCCGCGGGCGGCCAGCTGGTGGACCAGCGCTTCTGCCCGCGCATCGTCGAAGGTGAGCTGCGCTACAACATGGCTGGCTGGGGAGGGCCGGCTATCCGGCAGAGGCATGGTTCAGAGGAGGAAAAGGTACCGATATCCTGAGACCTTGGCGATGCAGTTTTTGTTGAGCCGGGTATTTTCGCACATGTGATTTCGGGCTTCGGACCCTCACATATCGATCGGGCTCGAAAAATGCGAAGAAAGATGGGGTCTGGGGCTCTGGTTGTGATGTCTCACGCTGCTCTGTTTTTTCGCGTCGTCGGATCTCTGGGTGCCGCTACCCTTCTCTCATTTTCGCCTGTGTAGGCCTCCTGGGAGGCCCTTGTCGCCACGGCCAGATTTGCTCCGAAACTCTAGTAAGAACCCACCCCGGGAGAGGTCTGGGGAGCAGCGGTTTCCGGACATGTCTGGTTTCCCCAATCTCGATGCCGATTCTGCCCGGCTTGACCTGGGACCTGGTTCTATTTCGAATCTCCTGCGGTCCGATTCGTCTCAGCATAGTCGCCGGCTCCGTCAGCGAAATTCGAAAGAGACACTGCAAAAGGGGATCGGATCGGAGCGACTCGTGTCAAGCTCCGCAGCGCCGTCTGGGGTTCCTCCACTGTTGGAGGGACCGCAAGTGGGGAACTCGAAGCTCAGAGTCGGTTGCGGCAGAGCGGGCGGAGGAGGGATGGAGGAGCGGGAGGGAGAGGCGGCGCCAGGAGCGAGGAGGGAGGGATGGAGGAGCGAGGAGGCGGGGGCCAGCAGGGAGGAGGGATGGAGGAGGGAGGCGGGACGGAGGGGTGAGGAGCATCGAAAACTGGAGGGAGGAGGGAGGATCGCGGAGAGCAGCTCCGTCGCCCCTGGGCCGACCCCCCGAGGAGATCAGGAAGGGGGGGGGGGCAGCTGGCACGGCACGCGGGGAGGGAGGGAGGAGAGAGGGAGGGAGGGAGGGAAGCCAGAGGAGGGAGAGAGGGAGGGAGGGAGAGAGGTAGGGAGGGAGAGAGGGAGGGAGGGAGAGAGGGAGGAGAGAGGGAGGGAGGGAGGGGGAGAGAGGGAGGGAGGGAGGGAGGTCAGAGGAGGGAAGTGTGCTGACGCCGCTGCCGTCCCTGCGCCGCCACGGCCGGACTTGCTTCGGAGGTCTGGTCAGAACGCACCCCAAGAGAGAGGTCAGGGGAGTAGCGGTGTTGGTGCCTCGTTATCCCCAAGGAGGGGGGTTGGGGGGACGAGAGGGAGGGTGGAGGGAGGTTGGAATAGGGGAGGAGGGAGGGGAAACGGAGGATGGAGGAGGGAGGCGGATGGAGGTAGGAGGGTGAAAAGCACGGACACCCGCGATCGGAACGATTCGACGGTGCTCGCGGAAGTCCGCGCGCGGCATCGATCGACTCGAGTTCTAGAGTGCACCTTCGCGGGTGCCCCCCAGCATGTGGTCCGATCTGGTCCGAGCAAACATTTGGCCCGATCTGCCAACAAGGACTTGCGGACAGCCGCAGTGAAGCGCGGCGGGGGAGGGGCTTCGAGAGGCCGCAGAGAGGCCCCGAGGAGGCTCCAGGTTGGCCCCGAGTGTTGCCAACCCTTGCCCGCAGAGGCCCCAGGATGCAGGGGGGAGGGGAGTGGGACGATGACGAGGAGAATGAGGTGGGGATTGGGAGGGGGATGATGATGATGATGCTGCTGCTGATGATGATGATGATGATGATGATGATGATGATGATGATGATGATGATGATGATGATGATGATGATGATGATGATGATGATGATGATGATGATGATGATGATGATGATGATGATGATGATGATGATGATGATGATGATGATGATGATGATGATGATGATGATGATGATGATGATGATGATGATGATGATGATGATGATGATGATGATGATGATGATGATGATGATGATGATGATGATGATGATGAGGAGGAGAGAGGGAGGAGGAGGAGGGAGGAGGAGGAGGAGGAGGAGGAGGAGGAGGAGGATGGGAAGAATAGGCCGCATCCTTGTCCCTCCTTCGTCTTTACTCCTGCCTCCTCCCTCTTTCTTTCTTCTGCCTTCTCCTTGCTTCTCCTTCCCCGCTCCTCCCTTCTTCCTTCTCATGTATCCATCCTCCCACCTCCTTCGTCTCTTCTCCTTATGCCCTTGCCTTCATGATCCTCTTGCCCCCCTCCCTCTTCCTTTTTTTTGGAGAGGAGGGAGGGGATTGGATGGGGATGGAGAGTTGGGGGAGGAAATGGGGGGAGAAGGGGGGGGGCTGGAGATAAGGAGGTGTGGAATTGAGGGGGAGGGAAGCGGAGGTCGGCGACACGCTCATCGGCATCATCCACAAGAAGCCGAAGGAGGGTGGCATCTCCGCAGTGGGTGGCTCGGGCGCTCAATCATCGAGCATCTACGAGCCCACACTGACTACTGTATCTTGTGGTCTTCGGCCCATCCAGCCACTGTGCCTGGGTTGTGGGTCAGAGTTCTTCTCGGGGTCTCTTCGGAGCGCTCTCAGGGGCCACTTGGGGGCCTCTTGGGGCCTCCTGGGGGCCTCTCAGGGCCGAGGGCTCGAAATGTCCGTTCGGGTCCCCCATCTGGGCACCCTTGGAGCCGTCATTTGGCCCTCTTGGGCCGTCTTGGGCACCTCTTTGGCCGTCTTGGGGCCCTCTTGGGCCGTTTTGGGGCCCTCTTGGAGGCCTCTTGGGCCGTCTTGGGCCGTCTTTGAGGACCTCTTGGGCCGTCGTTGAGCGCGGGGAAGCCGAAAGGTGAGAACGCCAAAAAACAAGAAAAACCGAATGGCCTCTTGGCCCTCTCGGGAGGCCTAGGCCTCTTGGGGCCTCTTACGGGCATCTTGGGCCGTCGTGAGGCCGTCGTGGGCGTCTGGTAGCGATCTTTCGGCGACTCGGGGCCCTCTTGTGTAGTCTTCGGGGCCTCTTGGGGCTCGCTGGGCCTGTGTTGGGCCCGGAGAAGTCATGCGAGAAGATGCTGGGAACCCCAGGGGGTCCGCGAAAAGCCCAAGGAGATTTGAGAATTTGGGCTTCGGGCTCCTGAAAGACTCCTCCCTCAGGATTGAGGATTGAGGCTCACAGGATTCGGCAAGTGACCTGAGGACACGCCCACTCCGTGCCCAGCGGCACGGTGGCGGATATCCTGGCAAGAAGATTGTCCTGTCCAGGGCTGGTCGGAGGGTTTGGCTGGGATGACTGGCCAGGGTCTGCCAGCGTTGTTTGGAGGGCTGGTTGGGGTTGGCCTGAGGGTTCCATAGCTTTTGGTAAATTGCCCACCCTCCGTCCCCCCGCTCATCTTTCCCCATCCCACTACCTTCTTCCTCCTCTCCCTCCTCCTCCTCCTCCTCCTTCTCACTCTTCGTGGCAAGGAAGGCAGCTACGCGCGCGTCCCTTCCGTAATCATGTTGTCTCTAGGGACTTTGGAATGAAGGCCGTTTTGCGCCCGCATGCCCTCTTGCATGCGGGCGCAACTCCGTCATGAGGGCAGCTCGCGCACGTGGAAAATGGTCACTCTTGGGGGCATCTCATCCTCCTACCTTCTATTCCTGCTGCTCCATACGACTCCCATAGGGTCCTGATCCCCCTCCTTTTCCTCACCCCTCGTCCTCTTTCTTTTCCCTTCCATCCTCCCCGTCCTTCTCCTCCTCCTCCTCCTCCTCCTCGTTCTCACTCTGCGTGGCGAGGAACGCAGCTACGCGCGTGTCTCTTCCACAATTATGCTGTCTCCAGGGTCTTTGGAAAGAAGGCGGGTTTGCGCCCGCGTGCCCTCTTTCATGCGGGCGCAGCTCGGTGCACGAGGGCAGCTCTTTTTTGTCCAGACGGCTCACGTAACTGGTCTCCAGAGACCCTCCTCCTCCTCCTCCTCCTCCTCCTCCTCCTCCTCCTCCTCCTCCTCCTCCTCCTCCTAAGGGAGGAGGTGCCTTCCTCGACTCCTCGCGGCGAGGCGGCACCGGCTCCATCTACACGTTCTACGGCCCCAAGGAGGGCGAGTTCGGGCCTCGCCTCGACTTTCCCCCCAGTAAGGGAAACGCAGGAAGGATGAGGCGGATGGTGATGATGATGATGCTGCTGCTGCTGCTGATAATGATGATGGTGGTGATGATGATAATAATGGCGATGATGATGATGATGATGATGATGATGATGATGATGATGATGATGATGATGATGATGATGATGATGATGATGATGATGATGATGATGATGCTTATGCTGACGATGGTGATGATTCTGCTACTGATGATGATGCGGATGCTACTGCTGCTGGTGATGCTGATGCTGACGCTGATGATGAATACGATGACGATGATCACGACGATAATGATGCTGATGATGAAGATGCTGATGATAGTGCTGCTGCTGCTGATGCTGATGATCATGCTAGCCCTGATGCTGCTGATGCTGCTGCTGCTGGTGATGATGATGCTGACGACGCTGCTGCTGCTGCTGATGATGCTGCGGATGCTAATGATGCTGCTGCTGATGATGCCGATTATGATGCGGATGATGATGTTGATGATGTTGATGATGATTATGATGAAAATGATGATTATGCTGATGATGATGCGGGTTATGCTGATGATGACAACGATGAGGATTATGATGACGATGCTGATGATGATGATGAAGATGATGCGGATTGTGCTGCTTCTTATGACGATGCCGATGACGACTATGATGATGACGATTATGCTAGCGATGATGAAGATGATGCTGCTGCTGATGATACTGATGGTGATGTCATGATGATGATGATGATGATGATGATGATGATGATGATGATGATGATGATGATGATGATGATGATGATGATGACTGCGATGAGGATGATGGCGATGCTGTTGCTGATGCTGCCCATGATGGCGAGTTTGATGGTGATGATGCGGATGATGCTGCTGCTGAGGCTGATACTGATGATGCTGATGATACTGATGATGTTGATGGTGATGATATTGACGACGATGGCTATACTGATGCGGATGCGGATGATGACAAGGTTGATGATTGTGCTGCTGCTGCTGCTGCTGCTAAAGGCTGATGATGCTGATATTGTGGATGATGATAAGACTGGTGACGATGATGCTGATGCTGATGAGGCTGATGATCATGACGATGCTTACGACGCCGATGCTGATGATGATGCTGACGATGCTGCTGCTGCTGCTAATGATGATGCTGATGATGATGATAATAACAAGGTGATTTTATTGATGCCGATGACGACGACGCGGATGATGCCGCTGACGATAAGGTCGACGGCGACGGGGACGTTGACCAGGATGACGATGACGTGATGAGGATGGCGATTTTATTTACGGTGGAGATCGTTACCATGATGGTGCTGAGTGCGATGAAGATGCTGGTGATGAGGCATTTGATGTTGCCGATGATGAGGCTGATGATGATGGTCATGATGACGATGGTGACGATGATGATAATGATGATGATGATGCTGTTGATGATGATGCTGATCATGATGATGATGCTGATGACACTGTTGATGATGACGATGCGGTTGCTGCTGATGACGACGACGATGATGACGGGGCTGTGGAGGTAGTGGTAAACGATGAAGATGGTCGACATGATACACATGGACATCCTACTGCAGCGGTTGCTGCTGCTGCTGATGATAAGCAGGATGAGGATGAGGAGGATGAGGAGGAGGAGGGGGATGAGGAGGACGACGAGAAGGAATACTTCAAAAGAGCATTTGGAGAGGCATGATAGTAGATGGCGCACACGGGGAGGATAGGGACTGCGATGAATGTGAGAGGATTCGGATACGGGCGGATGGAGGGATCATGACTTGTAGTAGTAGGAGGGGTAGGAGGAGGCGGAGGAGGATGATGATGAGGAGGAGGAGGAGAAAGAGTGTGAGGTGGAGGAGCCCGTTGGTACTATCTACTGTGAGCGAGCGCTCCTCTGCCTCTTGTCGGCCCGTTCTCCTGTCCTGCTGACCCCTCCGCGGTCGACGGCGCCCATTCTTTTTCGCTGCCGCTTCTGCCCCCCAGTCGTGCACGTCCTCTGGCCGTTTGCCAATCTTATGTGCCTGCCGCTCGGGTGTAAAGCTACGGTCGTGAAGTTTTGGACACTCCTCCTCTGCCTCCTCCTCCTCCTTTACCTCCACCTCCACCTCCACCTCCACCTCCACCTCCACCTCCACCACCTCCTCCATCACCTCCTCCTCTTCCTTCTCCTCCTCGCTCCGCCTTAACAGAGAGTCTTTGCTTATGGGGTAGCGTTCGGGCCACTCACATGGGCTGGGCCATCCTGTCTCAGAAGAGTTTTTTTTGTTTATGGGGTGGTGTTTGGACCACTCACAAGGAATGGGACGCCAGCGGAGCGGGCGGTGGATCGCCGCTCCTCTCAGGGGACAAGCTCCTCCTCCTGCTCCTGCTCCTGCTCCTGCTCGTCCTCCTCCTCCTCCTCCTTCTCCTCCTCCCCCCTCTCCTCCCCCCTCTCCTCCTACCCTTCCCCCTCCTCCTCCTCCTCCTCCTCCTTCTTCTCCTTCTACATTACTCAATCTGAATATTACTCTCCTCTCTCCCCTGAGTCTGGCGGAATCTGTCTCGGAGTGCCCCCCTTGGGGTATGGTTTTTTACACAGGATGTCGGCGAGTTGGGTTTTCGCTCTTTTTCAGAATTGCTGCACTCGCTGAGGCGCTGGCATCATTTTCGGGCTTCCGTTCTTTCCGAACCGTACTCCCGCTGCAGCGCTGGCTTCATTGCCGCGCTTCCGCTCATTCCGAATCGGGTTCCCGCTGCAGCGCTGGCCTTATTTCCGCGATTCCGCTCGTTCCGAATCTTGCTCCCGCTGCAGCGTTGGCGTCATTATTTCCAGCGCCATGCCACGGCATGGTTTTCGGTCCTTCCAACTAGGAGCCGAACACTAGGAACTGGCTCCCCGAAGCAACCATCGGAAGTAATTCCACATTCGGTGCCGATTCGTTGATCTTTTGGACCGCAGAAGCCCCCCCCACTTTGGGCCGTCAGGCTAAGCGTTGATCTTCAGCACCACGCTATGCCATGTAATGCTATGCCCTGCTACGTCATCCGACGGTGCGAATGGAGAGGGGATCTACGCCATGCTAAGGGATGGGAGGGAGGGAGGGGTAGGACGTCCGATATGACGCCAGCGCACCTAGCTTGCCTCCTCCTCCTTCTCCTCCTCTTCCTCCTCCCCTTCCTCCTCCTCCTCCTCCTCCTCCTCCTTCCTCTTCCTCCGTCTCCTCCTCCTCCTCCTCCTCCTCCGCCTCCTCGTCCTCCTCCTCCTTTTCCTCCTCCGTCTCCTCCTCCTCCTCCTCGCCCTCCTCTTCCTTCTCCTCCTCCTCCTCCTCCTCCTCCTCCTCCTCCTCCTCTTCCTCCCCCCTGTTCACTTCCTCCGCGCCCTTTTCCTCCTCTTCCTCCTCCCCCTGATAGAGAAGCGCCCTCGCCATCACCCCCCATGTGCAGGCTACAATGGCGGGGGGGGGGGTCCCAGGAGTGTTCTACGGTGGGGACCTTTTGGATCTCGTGTTGCCCCGCCGGTTCTGGCCCATCACGCTTCGGCGCGACACGCCAACCACGTCCCATCCTCCAAGCGTCAACGCCCCGAGCCTTTCCCAGCCTCTTGCCCTGCGGAGCGGAGCGACATGCTATCCACTCGCAGGGCACGGCGTGTCGCTGGGGCCGCCGTTGCGACGCGCTAAGCAAAAGTTCCTGACCGTAGGCTTAGTGGGGCATGCATCGACCCTCAGTCGCCTGTTTATAGCCGAAGGGGCCTGATACCCTCCCCTGTAAATCGCGGATTGGATATCGAGGGCCTATCGCCAATCCATCGGCGAGGTATCGCCGATTCCAGTCAGATGCCCCCCCCCTCCCCCCCGAACAGGTCCACATATCGTTCCCCATCAGCCGCACTTCTTTCGGGCTGCGCGGCTGGTCACAGGCTTGGCTGGCGCTCGTCGAGCATCGCCACCGCGGCTCGTGGGACAAGTCCGCTGGCGTTACTTTAGAGGTCTGTCCTGGCGGCCTGACCTCTTCACGGCGTCCTCCCTCCACATCCTGGTTCGTCCGTTTTGAGGCCGTATTTTGGTGTCATGGTTTTGTATGTATTCGCTCGTTTAAGTTCGTATGTTTTTTCTCTGTCTTCGTGCGGCGATGCCTTTTCGAATGTTTTTCATCCTCTTCCAAGTTGACCCCCAGATCTCTTCTCCTCTGGGTTCGTTTTGCTGAGCACCTCAAGGATAGTCCTGCGTGGTCACGGGACCGCCCCGGAGGCGCAAGACCTCGATCTTCGAACTCCGATTTTCCTCCTCCTAGCCACGGTGCCGAGGAGAAAAAGTTTGCCAGCCTGACCAAGAGCTTCACTGGTGATGACCTGGCCAAGATTATGCCTGCCCTGGGGCTCGAGGATGAGCCCATCCCGCTGTGGTGGACCTCGGACTTCATCAACTCGTCGCCCCCGGGCACCGCCTCCAAGGCCAGCGCCTTGAGGGGAAGGGAGGCGGAGGGGAGGGGGAGTGAGGGGGGGAGGGAGAGGGAAGGCGAGGGAGATGGTGAGCAAGGGGGAATGGGAGGGAGGGGACGGGAGGAGCGAGAGAGAGAGAGAGAGAGAGAGGGAGAGAGAGAAATAGAAGGCGAGACAGGCGGAGGGAAGGACAGCTCGGTTGGGTACATTGCTCGGCAGGGCGTTCCCGTCAGCAGCCTGTCCTCTGCCCTACAGCCCTCCCTCCCGCCCCCCTTGCCTCGTCCCTGTTCCCTTGCCCTCTTCTTCCCGTCCTCCCTGCCCTCCTCTTTCTCCTCCTGCTACTCCCGCCCCCAGAGGACGAGAAGTGGATCGTCGGCGAGTTCAACTGCTCCTGCGTAGGCGCCGCGGGGGGGAGTCCACCCTCCTCCCTCCTCCCTGCTCCTCCGCTCGGCGGCGGCAGCTGTCTTCGCAGCCCACGGGGGCCCCCGGTCGCCCGTGCCTTCGGCGAGGCTCCCGGCGAAGACGTGCAGTGTCCGCCCCCGTTGGCCGTCGTTTCCCGTCGCTTCCGCCGATCCTTGCTGCCCCTTCCCCCTCCCCCCCTCCCCGCCCCTTCCTCCCTCCTCTCCCTCCCGCTTCGCCTCCCCCTTTCTCCACCCTCCCGCCCTCCCCGGTCGGCCGTAGGGGCCGCTCGAGGGTGCTCGGGCCGCATCAGTCACGCCGTGGGCCAGATCTCCGGGAAGCGGTGAATTTGAGCTTGGCCTCCCCTGATCATTTTTGTTCTAAGTTTACGTCGGGCTTGCCCAATTACAGGAGGAAGATTCAAAAATAGTCAACAATAGCCTGGGGACGATTTTGGTCCAGAATCCCCCTGTAGGAGGACAGGCCCCACTTAATTTGAAGTCTGGGCCCGATGTTTTGCTCCGAGTCTGGTCTGGGAGTTCTGGTCCAATTCTGCGCCCCGTCTGTCGGCGCTAGCGTAGCACTGCTCTCTTCGACTCCCTTTCCCATCGCCTCCTGCTGGCCGTGCCGAGCCGCCGCGGCTACGTGGGCAGGAGCTGCCAGCCGAGAGTCACCGAAGAACGAAACACGACTCGAAGCCCAGGATGAGACTCTCGGCATTCCCCCCTCGCGCTCGCCTTCTGCATTCGACCGTGTGGGCTCGGGTGGCCCGACGGCCACCCAAGCCCACACGGTCGAGTGCCAGACGAGGCGCGCGCGCGCAGGCGGAGGCCTCGCGCGGGGGCGACGCAGCTGGGCCGCCTCGAGGAGGAGGACGAGGAGGAGGAGGAGGAGGAGGAGGAGGAGGAGGAGGAGGAGGAGGAGGAGGAGGAGGAGGGAGGAGGAGCAGGAGGAGGAGGAGGAGGAGGGAGGAGGAGGAGGAGGAGGAGGAGGAGGAGGAGGAGGAGAGGAGGAGGAGGAGGAGGAGGAGGAGGAGGAGAGAAGGAGGAGGAGGAGGAGGAGGAGGAGGAGGAGGAGGAGGAGGACCGCGTCTGTTGGGGGCCCTCGACGCGGCGCGGCTCGCTCCCGATGCCCCCGTGGCCCGACGGCGCAGGGCGAGCCCCCGCCGCGCCCCCCTCGGCCGGCGCGCGCGGGACGCCTCCGCCGCCCGCGCAGCGCGGCGCCGCGCGGCGCGGGCCCGCCCTCGGGTTTGGGCCCGCCGCCCTCCCCTCCTCCTCCTCCTCCTCCTCCTCCTCCTCCCTCCTCCTCCTCCTCCTCCTCCTCCTCCCTCCCTCCCTCCCTCCCTCCTCCCTCCCTCCCTCCCTCCCTCCCTCCCTCCCTCCCTCCCTCCCTCCCGCCTCACCGCCCCGATCTGGCTCCGGCGGCTCCGGCTCGGCGCTGCTTCGGCGGCGAGCGAGGGGGGGGCGCCGAGGAAGAGGGGGCCCTCTCTCGGCCGGCGGCGGGGCTCTCCTCGGGAGCCCCCCGCGCCCTCCGCGGAAGAGTTTCCGTCGGTCTCCGGGGAGGGCTCTGGGAAGCTCTCGGAAGGCCGGGGGACCTCCGAACCTTCTGAGGAGGCCTTCTCCGTCCGTCTCGCTTCCCCTGGAGGGTGAATGTGGGGGTCGGGCGCAGGCGATGCATCCTCGATTTCTGTGTTCGGCGGGGTAACCTATTCGGCAGCGAGCGAGGGGGGGAATCCCCCCTTCGCTCGCCGCCGACTGCGGCAGGTTCTCCGCGGCGTCCTCGGAAGCACGCCCCGTGCGGAGCGCGCGCCTCCCCCCTGCCTGCCGCCCCCTCCGCGGCCGCGCTCTCTGCGCTTCCCCCCCCCCCCCCCGGGCAGGGGTGCAAGCCCAGCCGGGACGCGCGCCCCGCTCCGGCCCGAGCGCGGCGCGCTCCGGTCCACTGCGCGCAGGGTGGCTACGGGCCGACGCCCGAAAAACACAGGCCCGCCTCGGTGTGATTTGTCGCAGATCCCCCCGCGGCGGATCCGGGCCATCTGCGAGCAGCCACTCTGCGAGCAGTGGAGCGCGCTCGTCCGGACGTCGCGGCGACAGGGCCGGCGGCGTTTCAGGGAGTTCTGCTGGCGGCCCCTCTTCGGGTTCTGGCTCCTCGTCCTCCTGGTCGTTTCCCCCGTCCCCTCTCTCGTCCTCTGGCGCCCGGGCCCCGCGGCCCAGGCATCTCGAAGTGCCTGGCCGCGTACTGCAAGGACCGATGGCGGGCGCCCCGCGCGGAAGGGTAACGGCGGTGACGGGTGGGGGCGCGATGTGCGAACGGCCAACCGCGCAGGGCGCTGCAGAATGTACCACAGTCAACCACAGTCAGGAGGCTGAAATGAGGACTACTTCGGGGCTCATAGGGTGGTCTGGTTTTCGGGCCGTTCCTTGCTTTGGGTTTCTTAATAAGCGTTGGGGGGGTACCCCCCTCGACGGGAGTCCACCTCGCCTCGTCGTCGCGCCGCGACGGGGGTCGGAGCGCCTTCGGCGCGCGGTGGCTGCCCGCGACGGGGGTCAATGTGGGGCTGTCGGCGGGGGTGACGCCCCCCCCGACGCTTATGAAGAATCTCGGAGTAGGCTGCGGTCGAGGACTTTCTTCGCGGCCCAGCTCGCCGTGGCCAGAGCAGCCCCTTCGTTCCCAACTTGGCGTTCTGAATGGTAGCGCGATGATTGTATTCGCCGATCCTGGCTGCGGCCGATCTTGCGTAAGTGGGGTGGATCTGTTGACGTCCCCTGGAGGAAGGTCTCTCTTTTCGAGGGGCCGAGAGGTTGGTATTTCCTCCTCGGCGAATGGCGGAGGAAGGCCGGCCGAAGGCGACGGCACCAGAACGGAGGCAGTTCCGTCAGTGGCAGATGGCGGGAGGCCAGTCGAAGGCGTCAGAAGGAAGTGGTGCACCCCAGGAGATGTCAACATCGTTGCGGTGCACTGCCATGTCGGTCTTGTCAGCGCATCGAAAGCTCGATCGCGCGAGTTCCCCAGCCCGAGCTGAATCGTGGCATTTGCCAATGAGAACCAGTGTGACTCTTGCAGTTTTTGCTTCAGTCGGCGGCCTCGCCATCTTTGGGCCTCTTGGGGATACCTTGGGGCCACCCTGGGGAGAGCGGTTTGGAGGCCTGGGGGCCAGGGGTCCACGCAAATGTGCACACGCCCACTATTAGTCCATTCGAGCGGTTTCAGTAGAACATATAATGAAATATAGACAGTATACAAATGTATGTATGTATGTGCGCACGCATGGGTGAGTGTCTGAGTGTAGGTATGTACGTGTGTGTATGTACGTATGAATATGCAAGTATGGATAGTTGTATGTACACGCATATGACTTTTCTGATACATTTACGCGTCCTATCTAATGGCCTTCGGCCCATCCCGCCACCGAGCCTGGGTTACGGGCCCGCCTTGGGCCGGAAAAAGCCACGCGAGAAGACGCGCCAAGCCCAACTGAAAGACTCATCAGGCGTGATGTTTTAGGCTTAGAGGAATAGGCCCAGGTCCTATAAGGACACGCCCACTACGTGCCCAGCGGCACGGTGGCGGATACGGTAAACATAGGCATGTGTGTACATACGTGTGATTCACAGTGCATGTACATATGTGTGAGATCATGCATTTACAATCTATACATATACACATACACATATAGACATATGCACGTATGTCCGCACAGACATAAAGACTTACGCACACATGCACATACACGTGTACAGTCAACCCGCATGGTAAGGATGGGTAACCTTCCCAAGGGTACCCTTGCATCCTTGCCTCCTCGGTCCATCCTTGGCCACTTTCGTTGGCCGCGCCCCGCTCGAAAAGCTTCGAAGTGGGAGTCTAATGCCGTTGCATCCTTATCGCGCATCCTTATGATACGGGTCGGCTGTGTACGCATATCTAGAAATGTACATGTGTGTTTACGTGCATCGATATACATATGCACATACATACATATTTGTGCATATCACTGCATCTACATATATACACATTTGTACACATACATACATACACACCACACATGCAGACATGTACGACTAAACATGTGTGCATTGTATACCCATAGACATGTATAGTGTACAACTGCACATACACATACACACACCCACAACCACCTATACACATACACACACATGTGCATACATACAAACAAACATATTTACATACACGATTGTGCAGACACGCATATATTGATATATACATGCATACATACGAATGTACATGCGCATGTCGTAGGTACATGTATAAATTTATACATACGTGCATATATCTACACGCATTCGTGTATATATATACACACGTATCAATACATAAGCACATACATATGCACACACGTGTGTATATATACATCCTCCTGCAAGCACACGCATACGCATACGCATATTTTGGTACACACATTCTAATGAGTCCATATGTACATATATGTATATGTGCATGCGTACGTATGCACATACATACATACATACATACATACATACATACATACATACATACATACACACATACATACATTTGTACACAGACATACATGTATGCATTATTGTACTTATGAGTATCCATAACAGCCTTTGGCGCATCCCGCCACCGTTTCTGGGTTGTGGGCCAAAGGCCTCCTGGGTGTATCTTGAGGTCTTTGGGGATGCCTCTCGGAAACCTTTTATTATGCTCGGATGGCCACTCTATGGTTTCTTGGGGGCCTCTTGGAGGCCTCTTCGAAGCTTCTTGGGGACTCTTGGGCGCTCACAGGGGCTTTTTGGGATATGTTGGGAGTCTTGAGCAATCTTTTGGTGAAAGGCCCCCAAGGCCACTTCGAGTTCCCACTCTTGGGCCCCTCTTGCAGGAGGGGTCCGGTTCGGATGGATTCGGGCCAGGCCCGTTTATGGCTTCTAGTTTGTTTCAGAGACACCATGCTCTTGCGCCGTATTGGGGCCCTCTTGGGCGGTCCTTGTGCCTTCTTGGGGTTCTTTTGGGCTATCTTGAAAACATCCATCTTGGGGGCCTCCCGATCCGTCATGGGCGGTGTGAGGATGCCATGATCGTTTCAAAAACTTTTATACGGAATCACGGTATTCTGCCTCTTGGAGCGCTCTTGTGGTTCCTCCTAGAGCTCTCTTGGACCGTTTTGGAGGGCTGTTGGGGCGAATCGGAGCCCTTTCGGACAGTCTTGGGGGCCTCCTGGGACCCTTTTGATTAGTCTTCTCGCTCTGTGGCCTTTGGTCAAGTTGCTCAACAAACCCTTTCTAGTCAGGCGGGGGTTCCCCAGGAATCTGGCCATTGGGTTTCTGGGCCCTCGAAGGAGTATCATAATCCGTAGCACAGTGGGCTAAGACGCCTGAGAACACTCCACGTAGTGCCTACGGCATAGTGGCGGATATGCTTATTTATCCAGGTATGTACATGCACGACGAATGGGATCAGGTTTCTGGTTATATATATATGACACATATGCATGTATGTATGTATGTATGTATGTATGTATGTATGTGTATGTATATATGTATGTATGTATGCATGCATGCATGCATGCACGCATGTATGTATGTATGTATGTATGTATGTATGTATGTATATATATGCATGTATGTATTCGTATATGCATGTATGTATGTATGTACGTAAGTAAGTATGAATGTTATGTATGTTTTGTATGTATGTATATACGTATGTATGTATGCATGTATGCATGTATCTATGCATGTATGTATGCATGTTTGTAAACAAATGTGTATACATGCATGCATACATGCATGTATGTATGTATGTATGTATGTATGCATGCCTGCACATATGCATGTATGTATGTATGCATGCACATGTGTGTGCATGAATGTATATCATGTATGTATGCATGTAGGTATGTAGGTATGTATGTATGTAGATCGGTATATTTGTATGTATGTATGCATGTACGCACGTATGTTTGAATACATGTACGTATATACGTACATATGCATGCATGTAGGTATGCCTGTAGGTATTGATGCATGTATACATGCATGCTTGTATGTTTTGATATGTATATGTGCATGTATGTTTGTGTGCGTGTATGTATGTATGTATGCATGTATGTATGTCTGCCTGTCTGTATGTATGCATGTATGTATGTATGTATGTATGTATGTATGTACGTACGTTTGTTTGTATGTATGTGTGTATGCATGCATGCATGTATGTACGTATGTATGTATGTATATATATATATATATATGTATATAGGTATGTAGATAAGTATGTATATCGGTATGTACATATACATGTATGCATGCATACAACCAGGTACATGCACATACATTTATGTACACTGTGCACACATATCGTATGCAGACCAGTATGTCTGCATGATATGCTGTTGTATTCTACCATCGCCTGCGCCAGGACGACACGCCAGAAGCTTGCTACACTGACATCGCGAAGAAGGATCTGCTGGAGACCAAACGCATCGGCAGCCTGCTCGGTAAGAAGGCTCTTGGCATCCTCGTCAAGGTCCGATGGCCCACGGGGAAGGGGAAGAGAGGCAGGAGGAGGATGAGGAGGAGGAGGGCTCCAGTCGACAGACCCGCTCGGCACGCGCATCTCTCCCTGGATTCGAACGATGGGCCTCCGGTAAGCAGTTTCAATCCTGTCGGACAGGCCGTGTTTTGTGTGCTTTGGTCTACGCGCTTTTGGACGAGCTCATGAACTACGAAGGCCACCGTCGCCTGGCGATATCAATCTTTGATCGAGCTACCTCACCGAACGCGTGAAGCCCAACCAGCAGGGGAGAGGTCTTCTCGATGAGAGGCGATCGATGGAATCAGGACGCACTGTCCGAATTTTGATGCCATGACCCATCCGAGCGACATCTTCTTCCTCTGTGGTACGCTTATCTCAAGATTGCACAGGCCGCACGAGCCTCGATGCACTTGGGAACCATGGCATCTGGCCTGCCACCGCGCTGGCTCAGCATTCTGGGTGGTGGCTCTTCGGGGGGGGGGGGGGCACGTCGTTTTCTCCCCTCTGGCCCGTCTGTTCTGCCCCACCCGGCGGTCCTGGGAGCCCCCATCGGGCCACTTCTCGGGCGCCTCGGGGCCCTGCTGGGCCGTCTTCGAGCTCTCGCGGGCCGCCTTGGGACCTCTTGGCCGCCCGGGGGTCCCTCGCTGCCGTCGTGGGGAGGAGGAGGAGGAGGGGGAGGAGGAGGAGGAGGAGGAGGAGGAGGAGGAGGAGGAGGAGGAGGAGGAGGAGGACAAGGAGGAGGACAAGGAGGAGGAGGAGGAGGAGGAGGAGGAGGAGGAGGAGGAGGAGGGGGGGGGAGGAGCGGAGGAGGGGGGAAGGAAGAGGAGGAGGAGGAGGAGTAAGAGGCGCTCCGACGCGGCCTCGGGTGCGGAGGCCCTCGCGGCCAGCTTGGGGCTCTCTCTCGTGGGCGCCTGGGGCCGTCTTAGGGGCCCCTCGCGTTGTCTGGAGGCCGTCTAGGAGGACGCTTCGGCCGACTGGGGGCTTTGTTGGACCGCCTTTGGGCCAAGGTAGTCTGGAAAGCTTACGCCGCCCAAATCTTTGAGAACATGGCTGGGGCATCAATGATTTGGGCTTAGCCGGATCCTACCGGGGGTCCTCCAGGGTCGCCCTCTTGGGGTGTTTTGGGTCCCTGGTAGGCCGTCTTGAGGCCATCTTCGGCCGTCTTGGGGCCATCTTGGGCCGTCCTGGAGGCCTCTGGGGTCGCTTTGTCGGTCTTGGTGGCCTGCCTCGGGCGTCTTGGAGGCTTGGGAGCGCGGATCCATTGTGTGTTTACGGGGGATCGTGGCCCCTGGAGCGCGGATCCATAGCTTCTTACCATGGACCGTGGCCTCGGGAGAGGGGGTGATGCACGTAGCTCTCTGCTGAAGAGGGTAGCGTGGTCCTTTAGAATATTTCAGTGTCCTACCAGGCAGCTCTTGGAATTCTTCCACGCCTCAACGTGCCAGGGTGCACGGTCGTGGTTTCTGCGCCTCAGCTACCACGTTTACCCACCACCGCACGAGGATATCGAAGTGTGATAAGCGACCAGAGGAGGAGGACGACTACTACTACTACTCCTCCTACTGCTTCTTCTTCTAGTGTTACTACTACTACTACTACTACTACTACTACTACTTCTACTACTACCTCTACCTCTACTACTACCTCTACCTCTACCTCTACCTCTACCTCTACCTCTACCTCTACTACTACTACTACTACTACTACTACTACTACTACTACTACTACTACTACTACTACTACTACTACTACTACTACTACTACTACTACTACTACTACTACTACTACTACTACTACTACTACTACTACTACTGACTACTACTACTACTACTACTACTACTACTACTACTACTACTACTACTACTACTACTACTACTACTACTACTACTACTACTACTACTACTACTACTACTACTACTACTACTACTACTACTACTACTACTACTACTACTACTACTACTACGACTACTACTACTACTGCTACGACGACTACTACTACTACTACTAGTACGATACGACTCGACTACACTGAGACTACTACGCGACTACTATACTACTACTACTACTATTACTACTACTACTACTACTGCTACTACTGCTACTGCTGCTACTTCTACTTCTACTTCTACTACTACTACTACTACTACTACTACTACTACTACTACTATTACTACTACTATACTACTACTACTGTACTACTACTACTACTACTACTACTACTACTACTATTACTACTACTACTACACTACTACTACTACTGCTACTACTACTACTACTAATACTACTACTACTACTACTACTACTACTACTACTACTCTACTACTACTACTACTACTACTACTAACTACTACTACTACTACTACTACTACTACTACTACTACTACTACTACTACTACTAGTACTATCCGTAAGGGCTTCGCCCCCTGCCGCCGGCCCCCTCTCTCGGAGAATGGGCCATGGAAGAGCTAAGTCATGAGGCTTTGGCGCTGTCGTGCAGCAGTATCGGAACTTCATGCGAGGCCGATTCGCAATCGGCAAAACCAACTGATCACAAGAGGGGTTACCACACAGGGCGATTGGTAAGACGTGTATGGTTTACGAGCTTGGTTACCACACCTTGGGATTAAAGGGCCGAGGGAGTACTCGCAGTTTGGGTTACCACGCCTTGCGATGGATGTGCGTGAGGGGTGGCACCGAATTTCAGAAATGTGGCAAATCCCCTGTGTTTTTGGACCCTGACCCCGCGGATCTGCGTGAGGGGTGGCACCGAATTTCAGAAATGTGGCAAATCCCATGTGTTTTTGGACCCTGACCCCGCGGATCTGCGTGAGGGGTGGCACCGAATTTCAGAAATGTGGCAAATCCCCTGTGTTTTTGGACCCTGACCCCGCGGATCTGCGTGAGGGGTGGCACCGAATTTCAGAAATGTGGCAAATCCCTTGTGTTTTTGGACCCTGACCCCGCGGATCTGCGTGAGGGGTGGCACCGAATTTCAGAAATGTGGCAAATCCCTTGTGTTTTTGGACCCTGACCCCGCGGATCTGCGTGAGGGGTGGCACCGAATTTCAGAAATGTGGCAAATCCCTGTGTTTTTGGACCCTGACCCCGCGGATCTGCGTGAGGGGTGGCACCGAATTTCAGAAATGTGGCAAATCCCTGTGTTTTTGGACCCTGACCCCGCGGATCTGCGTGAGGGGTGGCACCGAATTTCAGAAATGTGGCAAATCCCATGTGTTTTTGGACCCTGACCCCGCGGATCTGCGTGAGGGGTGGCACCGAATTTCAGAAATGTGGCAAATCCCATGTGTTTTTGGACCCTGACCCCGTGGATCTGCGTGAGGGGTGGCACCGAATTTCAGAAATGTGGCAAATCCCATGTGTTTTTGGACCCTGACCCCGCGGATCTGCGTGAGGGGTGTCGATTTCGAGCCCCCCCAGCAATTCAGACAACGCGCCCAGGGGGTGCTAAAAAGTTCCGTTTGGGCCTCCCCCCCCTCGCGCGGTCAATCAATTAGTTACAGTAACCAGCAAGAAGCAGAACTGTAACACTGGAAATTACAACCTACGACTGGTACAGGAAACTGCGAACCTCGCGCCTACAGCCTGGTGGCCCCACAAGGGGGCCGGCGGATTACTACTACTACTACTACTACTACTACTACTACTACTACTACTACTATTATTACTACTACTACTACTACTACTGCTACTGCTACTGCTGCTGCTGCTACTACTACTACTACTACACTACTACTACTACTACTACTACTACTACTACTACTACTACTACTACTACTACTACTACTACTACTACTACTACTACTACTACTACTACTACTACTACTACTACTACTACTACTACTACTACTACTACACTACTACTACTACTACTACTACTACTACTACTACTACTACTACTACTACTACTACTACTACTACTACTACTACTACTACTTCTACTACTACTACTACTACTACTACTACTACTACTACTACTACTACTGCTACTGCTATTATTATTATTACTACTACTACTACTACCACTACTCCACCTACTACTCCTAAGCACAAACACATTGATACTAGCTAGCACTAGTAATAATCATATACAGAGGATGATGATAATGATGACGATGCTGATTCTGATGCTGGTGCAGTTATCGTTGTTGTTGCTGTTGCTGATACGGTTGCTTTTGTTGTTGTTGTTGTTGTTGTTGCCTCTGTTGTTGTTTCGTTGTCGTTGTCGTTATTGTTGTGTTGTTGTTGCTGTTGCTGTTGCTGTTGCTGTTGCTGTTGCTGCTGCTGTTGCTGTTACTGTTACTGTTGTGGTTGTTGCTGTTGCTGTTGATAGGACGAGGAGGAGGAACAGAAAGAGGAACACACAGGAGGATGAGAAGGAGGGTGAGGGCGGAGGGAGGAGGGAGGAAGAGGAGAGAGGGAAAGGAGGAGCGAGGAGGCTGGAGCGACGAGGAGCGGGGAGGAGCGGGGAGGAGCGCGAGCTGGACCTGCAGACGGCCGCCTCTGCCGCTGGACCGACCCCGCCCCGCCCCGCTCTGCGGCCGCCGGAGGCCACCCCGAAGGTCCCGTCGACCGCGAAGGCGGACGCGTCCGAGGCCCGCTTCGCGCTCTGTGCGGGAGTGGGGGGGAGGAGAGGGGGAGACGGAGGGAGAGTGAGGAGAAGAGAGGGAGGAGAGGGATGGGGAGAGGGAGGGGTGGGAGAGGGAAAGCGAGAGGGGAGGAGAGGGAGAGCGAGGGGAGGAGAGGGATGGGAAGGGGAGGGAGAGTGGGAGGGAAGGGAGGGGAGGGAGAGGGAGATGGAGAGGGAAAGGGAGGGGGGGAATGCGCAACGATTCGGACGATGGGTCGTCCAGGCACCCGGGCCGCACGTGCCCGGCAGGCCTTCTTTGCAAACAGGAAGGCGTCATATATGGAACAGGAGTTGTTGGATAACCTTCCTGGCGCGGACTAAGGGGCCCCGTCTGGAAGAAAGGATGGGCGGCGGTGATCGTTCCTTCTGTCCCACAATGCAGAATGAGAGAGAGAGAGAGAGAGGCACCAGTTTTAAGCACACTTTGGCATGCGCGATTCGGCGCCCAGGCAAGATCGGCGCCACCTTGGGGCGTTCCCCGCAGCGGCCCATAAGGAGCGGGCGACGGAACAGGCGCCGGCAGTTCACAAGGCCCGACGAGAAAGGAGGTTGGCTTTGGTGTGCAGCCGTTTGAGCGTCAAGGAAGGCTTGGAGGTTACCGTGGAGGTGCGCCCCCATGACCGCAGCAGGCCAGAAGGTCTGCTGCAGGCCCCTCCAAACCTCTTGCGTGAGGTGGAAACTGTCGATCAGCGGTGCCGATTGCTCCTCGATCTGGTGGAAAGAGGTCGCCAGCTGATTGGCATCCTGGTGGGGCGTTTGAATGCTGGTGGTGAAAGTTGCCCCGCGGTCCCGGTGTTGCTGGCCACTGGCCGCGCGGAGGTGCTGCGTGAGCGCATTCATTCGATCGGTACGGTGCTCTGAGGTCGTTCGGTCGCCCATGTCCTGGTAGGTGGTGCAAGGGCCCTTGGTCCCCGTTCCATGGTGGGGCGAGGGATCTACTTGGTGGCAGGAAACGGAACGTTGGGTGGATAGGTGTGCAAACGCACTGACGCTGGGGCGGCGGAGCTGGCCCCTGGGACGCCTGTCCGCGACCCCTCGCCATGCCATGCGCAGGTCCTCTCCCAGGCGGATGGCGTTACCGGCGGAGTCGTGCCGTGCGGTGTGGTTGTCAGCGTCGGGAGTGCGTCGGTGACCGCGGGCGTGGTGGCCGTCTCCCCTGGTCTTGCGGCCGTCCCGTCGGATCCCTCGTGGGCCGATGGGGGTGGCGCTTCAGGATGAGCGTCATGAATGGCTAACGTGCCTTCCCGCTCCCGAGCGTCGGGCAGCTCCGCGTTTGCCGTCACGTTCGGGTGGTCCTCTGCATTTTGGTCATTGCCGTGGGGGTGGATCAGTGCCAGGAAGTCGCGGTCGTCGTCAGCGTTGAGGGAGGCCCTAGCCCTAGCGGGTCGAGGCCATCAGCTTCGAAGTCGTCCGTGGTTGGGCTCAGGGATCATCGAGTCTGTCGAATTCCCTGACTGGTGGTGAGCGGGTGTGGTTCCATTTTGGAGAGCTCAGGATTCGAGTGCCCTGCTTTTCTGGAGGGCAGCGGGAGGGTGCGGTGTCGCCAATCGTGTGCGGCGACGGCCATGCCGTGGAGAATATCGGCGAACTCTTGGCGCCATCTGGCAGCGTCGACCGCACTTTTTGGGATGCTGTGGGGCCTCTCCCGCGCGTTAGCGAGTTCATCGAGGTGACGGTTGGCGTGGCGGTTGAAAGCTTCAGCGATAGGCCTGATGCGGCCTTCGTTGATGCCTTGCTTCCCGAGATGACTTTCGACTTTCTGAATTTTGAACTGGTCAGTTCTCGCCAGAAGCACCCAGTGAATTTTCCGCGAAAGTTCGGATTGCGGCCCCGCGCGCTGCGCTGGTTTGCCCCTGAGGAGGTCTGCGGATCCGTCGGCGGCCGCTTGGTTGTTGACGAAGACGTGGACCAGTCGTTCCGCCGTGGCGACGAGGTGCAGCATGGCGAGGGGTTCAGCCAGGTGTGCTGATTGTGCCAGGCCGTGTAGGCGGGCCGAACGGTTTAGCTGGTGATCAGGACCGTTGTGCACGCCAAGGCGTGCCTTGGCCAGGAGGGGGTGAGCTTGGTTGGAACAGGTCCCGTCGGTCGCGGCGCAGACCCGTCGGTCACCATGGTCGTAGGTGTACTCTTGGTTGGCATCCCCGTCCTCGTCGCCCTGCACGGGCTCGGGAATGGATATTGAAGGTCGTTTGTCGCCAGAGCTGCCAGAAGGTCGACCAAGGTGGGGTCTTCCTCAAGAAGGCCGCAGTGCGTAGTGTGTGATTGGTGATCCTGCCATTGTTCATCGGTGATCATTCTCTCGAGGGCAGTCCTCTGATTACCCAGCAGGGACATCTCCAGACGCTGTGCTCCTGGGTCTCCTCCTTCTGGTCACGCCATGTGAGCATGGGGAAATGGGGGTCCGCGGAGATGCCGGCCTGGACTTTCCTAGCCTCGCTCGGCGTGGTCACTCCCGCAGAGGTAGCTGCGAAGCAGGCCGGGATGCCGAGCGGTGCAGTCGGCCTTGCCTCTGGCCCCGGCTGGCCAGGCCTTGGCCGATCGCGAAGGTCCCGTCTGGCGGCGGCCGCGGCTCCGAGACCTCGTGCCTGGTTCTCGGGGTGCGTCCAGGGGGCGTCGCTCCCGAGCAAAAGGCATGGCCCGACGGACCGGCGGCCAGCGCAACAAGTGTATCCGTATCGTGGTCTCTGGCAGAGCACATCTCATTGAAAGTGAAACGGTGGGAGTTCAATCTGTTACGACGCATTCTCACTTCGCGGCGCAAGCCTGGAGAGGGGCATGAGAAAGGTATGCTCCGCAGCGCCAGGTCCACAGAGAAGCAGCTTCTGCGTTGAACATGCAACCAGGAATTCATAACATGTTAGCCGTCTTCGAAAATGCATGGGAAGAGAAAATTACAGGTTCACGAAGCTGCGTTAATATGTCGTCCGCGTCCGGGTGGGTCCGCACGCAGCAAAGTGGGAATCCTCATCAGTATTGGACAGCAAGCTCAAACGACGAGACTGTGGCTTCAAGCGTGAAGGCCATGGCCACCGCGTTGAGTAGGAGGAGGTGTTCGTGACAGTTTTCGGTTTGGTTGGTGTTGCAAGCGCAACGGTTGCATCGCGGAGTCTGATTGGATGGCATGTTTCCCGCGATTTGTCGCACTTCTGTGAAGCGCGATGGCTTTTAAATCCCAGTGCCGCCGCTGAAGGACCTGCGAGCGCCCTGGTCCAGACCGGCCCCGCGCGGGGGAGAACCGCCCCTAGTCCATTGGAGCGGCTTCCAGACTCTCATGGCGATGGCGCCTGTGATGTGCAAGTGGGGGGTCCCGCGCGGCGCGTGGCTTTTCTTGTCGATTGCGAACCTTTTAGGTGGAGCGTTAACTGGTGCAGCCGCGCTGGCGAATCCCGGCCTGGCTCCGATGTTCGACCGCGTCGGCCGCGCTAGCTTCCGCATGGGCGACTCTGTATGGTGCCCGGCGCGCGATGTTGATGATGTGATTTGCCGGCGCCTGCGAGAGTGGAACGCCCGAACACACTAGTCGGTGAGGTGCGCGTACATCAGGTAGTCGCGGTGTCAACGTGGGCGCATGGCAGCCGAGGACCTTGCCAGTGCGAACATTTTGGTGCGCGCAGGTTGTGGCGCTCGTGCAGGGGCGGGATCGGCTTCGGCTCGGTGCGTGGAGGCCGTATTTCGTGAGGGAAAGAGCGAAGTAATGATTCGGGTGCTACTCGCAGGCGCATTGATTATTGATCCCATGTCCTCTTTTACTACGGATGCTGTCGCGTTGGAGGAAACGATGGAAGCGGGGGCCTTGTCCGCAGCTGCGAGCCGCCGCCCGTCAGACATATGACTTTGGCCTCGCGAAAGAAAGTCGTCGTGCATACCGGCAGTTTCGGGCCAAGTCCATTCGAGTCGGGCAATGGGCTGCCGAACTCAACCGACAGGTCCCTCCCATGAATGGCATGCGTGAAGGTGTGGAAGGACTCGGCATTCGCGCTGAGGCTGGTGTCTCTCGTCGATTGCCTTCCGAACCCGAGCGGCGCCTCTCCTCGCGTGATGGCGCCGAATTCGATCGCTTGGCTGGGGGCGGCAAGGGCGCGGAGCGCCCATTGTGAGATCCAGACTTGCTCTTTGGGTCGGATGGCAGTAAAGGCTGTGTTGTTTTGGAGATTTCGCGCCCTGTCGCTGGAGGGGTAGGATATCCGTGCCCGTGGTGCACATGCTGACCGTGATGGGGGCGGCCCGATCTAGCTCTTGCAGTCAAGCCGCATAGTAAGGATGGGCGACCTTCCCGAGGCTTGTATCCTCGCCCCTTCGGACCATCCTCAATGATTTTCGTTGGCCAACCTCGTTCGACAAACGCGAGCGCGGCCCCGCGAGGCCCTTTCGTCCTTGCCGCGCATGCTTATCATGCGGGTTGATTGTGCGTGGGCGCCTTCAGGGGCACGCCTGATACGTGGGAGGCGCTTCGTGGTCCCTTTCACTCTGGCCTCGGCAGCGGCTTCGAGATTGATGCTAGGGCCCTCGCCCTCCAGCGTCGTATAGTGGGTGATCGTGAAGGTGGAGAGCGGTGGCCTGGCTGTTGAGTTCGTCGCCCAGGGCTCATCCTGCGAATTTGCCCAGGTAGATTGTCTGGCCCGACAATTTGCCAAACAGAGCAGCTTGGTCAAGAGACGCTGGTAGTTCAGCCGCGGTGTGAGCTGTGGGGTTGCTATTATCGACGAACGTGGTGCTGAGCGACCATGGGATAATCCTGTGTTACCTTTTCGTCCAGACTCACATGGGGAGCTAAGTGTCGCCCCGCATCTGAGTCCCCAGCTCCAACTCGCGACGGCGGCCTTGAAGGGGGGAAGGGGGTGGCGTTGCGGCGGCGCCGGCCAGCGAGACGTGCGGCGACGACATGCGACGCGACAAACGGGGAGGGGGCGCCGCCGTCGTCGTCGCCGAATGCGGGGCCGCCGCTCCAGTGCCCGCTCGCTTACGTGGCGGGGGCGGCAGATCCCGCGCGCGGGCCCGCCTCGTCCCTGGCCTCGCCGTCCGTCTTGTGCAAATGGCCTCCCTGGGTCGTCAAGGTTCTCCGCGTTCGGCAAGAAGGCCGCGCTGTCCATGGTGTGGCCGTCGTCGAGCGTCTCGGAGTCGGACGTGTCCAAGCTGACCTGAGGTGGTCCTGGTGGACCTGGGGTTTGCCCGGGGCTTTTTTGCCGATGACCTGGGGCCTTGTTGGGCCGCCAGGGTGAATGGCAGCGCCCCGCTGTGAGCGGTCGGTTTCGACGGTTGTGTGGCCCTGTGGCACCTTTGGCGGAGATTCTGCGCCCGTGCCTGGGGGCGCTGGAGTGGCAGTTGCCACTGGTCCCGCTGGCAAGCTGGGAACGCTTGTTCCAGAGAAGCGGGCTCTATTGGCAGCTGTGGCGCTGGTTGATAGACTGTTGGCCCCACCTGGGTGGCGAAGTGCGCGCCGCCCGCCCGTGCCGGCAAAGCTGGGTGCTTCACTGCGGGGGGCAATGGTGCCACCGCTTGGTGCCATGATTGGCCCGCGCAGCTCGCTGTCCACCTCAAGTTCCGCCTTTCTACCCCCGTTTCGGCAGGTCGTGGTGATGCCTCGGGGGCACTTCAGCACCTGCAAGTCAGGGTCGGCCGGGCTGAACCTTCTCAGGGTAGGGATGACCCATGGGGGCAGCTTTGTGAGGGGTGCCTGGTGGGTGCAGCCGTTGCCCCGTGCTACCGCTGGCCGTTGCGGCTGTAGCTATCTGCGGCGAGAGCTGCTTTTGACCCAGGGTGGTGTCCTGCTGGTCAAGCTGCTCCTCGTCTTCCTTGGCTAACCTGGCGAGCGGAGTAATCTGCTGGCCTGAGCGCTTGTCGTTGCCATCGCTGCCGTGTGTGGCCTTCCCCGTTCGGTGGTCCGCGTGGCGAGGGGTGGGCGGGTGCCTTGCTTCGGCAGCCATTGCTCGTGTGGCTTTATGTGGTGGTCTCGGTGGCCGTCAGTCCGAAGTTCCGCGCGGTGGCGTATGCGCGTAGGGCTGCGCTGGCGCGGGCGGCTTCTGGACCTGGACTTGGCCCAGTACCTGTGCCAGTGTGCGCCCCATGAGACTGGTGCCGCCGCTCGAAGCCGCCTTGGTGCATCTTGGCGGTGGTAGCCCTGGCGGGCTCCCATCGCGCTTGTTCAGCATGTGGGGTTCCGCGCGGCCGTGAAGCCGGCAGATACCCTTGGCGCTGTTCAGCCCTGTGAGGACGACGGAGGTGAGGGATTGCGGGTGAAGGGCGGTGCGTTTCCACATGAGGCCGAGGTCAGCCCCGTCTGTTGGTATCCGCGTGGTGCCTCGTGTCAACGGGTTTCACGACGTGCAGGACCTGGGCGACTTGCTTGTGTTTGTGAGTCCCGATGTGGTGTAATGATATTGCGAGCGGTAGGCTTTCCTGAAGCGGTTGCTTGCCACGATCATCATATGGGCACAGCATGACGATGCCGCCAGCTCTGAAGAGAGGCCCTTCGACGACGAACTTGGGTTCTGGTCTGAGAGCGATTTTTCTCCCGGGGCGGTGGCGGGGGTCAGCGTCTAGGCTCGGTGGCCTGTGGGGTCTTTCGTCGAGTAATCGTGGGCGGCGGGAACGGGGCGGAACGACGGCTGGAGGGGGAGGCGGGAGGAAGAGGCCGAGGAGGCCGAGGAGGAGGAAGAGGAGGAAGAGGAGGCCGCAGGAGGAGGAGAAGGAGGAGGAGGAGGAGGAACCGATTTGCACTCGAGCGCTCCGTGTGTTCTGTGCGTGGGGTGGGGTACTCTTCCCACGCTGTTGTGCGACACTCACGATCGGGTAGCATGATGGCCTGGCTGATCGTTTTTTTTTTTTTTTTTTTTTTTTTTTTTTTTTTTTTTTTTTTTTTTTTTTTTTTTTTTTTTTTTTTTTTTTTTCAAAAAAATAGTTTTATTTTTTTTTTATTTTTTTTTTATTTTTTTTACATTATATATAATTACTATTATTACATATATATATATAGATATATCATAATTATAATTATTGTTATTTTTAATATTGTCATTATTATTATCATTATTATTATTAGTATTTGTATTTTTATTATTATGTATTATTACTCTTTTTATATATATGTATCTCTCTTTTTTTCTTATGTTTTCCTCCCCCCCACATATATATATATATATATATATATGACATCGTCGGGTGCAGCCCGTGGCAGTGGATAATTGTCGTCTGGAGACGCAACGAGACATGTTCGACAGCTTGCCGTGCAGGTATATTGGCCCAGGAGGATTCATGTGAGCGTGTCACCAACTGAGAACAGTAATGCGCGGGTATTGGTGTTCCAACTGGAATGCGTTCCCAACGTCGTTCGGAGCACTCCCAGGGGACAAATCTGCGGCCGCACCCGGATATCCTTGATGGCTTCGCCCCCTTGCCGCCAGCCCCCTCTCTTGGATAATGGGTATGCAAGAGCTATACTGTGAGGCCTGGGCGCTGTCGTGAAGCAGCGTCGGAACTCCGAACGGGGGCTCTGGAGATGCGTGCCAAAATCAATAATCGCAGATGTTGGCCTTTTGGGCCCCTCTTGGGGGTGCTCTTGGAGTGCTCTTGGAGTCCTCTTGGGAGCCTCTTGGGCCGTCTTGGGACTATTTCGGGTGCCTTGGAGCATTCTTGGGCCGCTTCGGAGGCCTCTTGTACCGTCCTGGGGGCTTTTTATAAAAAGGACTGGCCTCGAAAGGGCGACTACTGCTTATTTTACGAGGGTTTACGGCTCCGGGGGACGCGAAGACAGCGTAAATTCCGAGGGGTCGGGGCTTCAGGGGCGCAGATATTGAATACTTCAAAAGATAGTTTTTCTTCGGAGACGAGAATATGATACAATTCATGAGGACTTGTGGTTTCGGGAACGCCAGCACAACGTAATTTGCTAGGGTTTATGGCCGTGGCTTCGCGAACCTGGTAACATTTACAAAGGATTATGGTCTCGGGGGCGCGACTATAATGTAATTTACAAGGGATTATGTCTTCGGGGGCGCGGATCTCAGCTATTTGTAGTGTCCTAGGATCCCCTAGACACTTTGAGACCCCCCCAGGTGAAGGTGACTAAGGCCCTTTTCGGCTTTCCCCCCTCGCGCGGACTTCAACAGTTCAGAGTCGGAAGCAGAACGCAGAACTGTGACATCGGAAATTTGAAACCGGAACTGGAGCAGGGAGCAGCAAGTCTAAGCCGCGGAGCCTGATGGCTCCGCAAGGGGGCTGGTGGATATTGTCGTAACTTGTTCCACCAAGGTAGATGAAAGAGCGTGTGATGCTCTTGGATAGTCATGCGCTTCTTCGGAGGCTGCTTTTGGCAATACTTGGCCTTGAGTTTGTGCTATTGGCAACCTGGAGGCACAGGGTAGCTGTCTTGGGGCCATCTTTGGGCGCCCTGGAATGATGCTAAAACCATTCTAGGGCCTCTTGGGGTCACATCGGGGCTAGGGATGCGAGACGGCGAGTATCACATCGCTGAAGCACACAAGCGTTTTCAATGAACGCTGCTTCGTGGGTTCCTCACATTGAGATGTCTCTTTGGCCACGGCGGGCCATGCCAAGTGCCTATTGTGCTGTGGGCTGTCTCGGAAGCCTTCTTTGAGGGAATCCTGTGGCCATCTTGGGACCATCCTCGAGATTCGGGGCCGCTCTGGATGAACTTATTCTCCCCAGAGGGGGGCAGGAGACGGACTGACGGAATTCGGGCACGATTCTCGATGATCTCACCATTGGTTTCCCCGGCAGGCCCCCAGGGCTAGCTGGCCGTGGGGCAAGTGGGGCCATCTTAGCCGGTCGCAGAGGTCAGCTAGGCTTGATTTGTCTTGGCACACCTTGAGCATTATTTCACACTGCGTTCCTGGATTTCGGGAGCCAGCGGGGAGTCCTGGCCAATCCCCAGATATCGCAGCTCTCGGCCCCGAACGAACGTTCAATACCAGTTGGTGCCACGATGCAGCATTCCCGTGCAGAAGGAGATGTTATCATGAGGGCGCTCAACACCTTACCAAAGGACACTGCGGCGAAGATGCACAACTGCTAATGAACTATCCGCCGCGTCGGCACCATCATATGCTAACACATCCGAACGAGCGCATTCAAACATTCACACAAGTAAACGCACCTACACATTTTGTCGTGGACACATGCGAATGCAAACGGACACAGAAACTCACGCACACACAGCCCCGCCTGCATACGACCCATGCAGTCATACACATGCGTACATGTGAGGGTGTTCAGATGTGCGAGTACACGTACGTGCATACACGGAGGCGCCGACATGTTTTGTTCATGCAGGCGCAACCGCAGTCGTGCTCATACGCGTATATATACGCATCTGAGGTCGGACGTGTTCACAAGCATGTGCACGTGCAGATTTATCAATATATGCATGTGTATACGGACTCCTTATTGTGTTTTGTTTTTCATTTTTTATAGTTCCATACACTACTAGTGTATGTGCTTTCATATTTTGTATGTTTCTATATGAATGTTGATGTGTGTCTGTGTCACACAGATATGATACACTGTTTTGTATAGTATTTTTTTACACGTATAGCCACGGCTCGGGAAGATTTGGATGAAGAGGAGCATGGGGAACGACTGACGGAGGCGGGATAGTCAGCCACAGTTCAGGAGGAAGGGGATGAACAGGAGTGTGGGAAAGGAGTGACGGCGTTGGGATACGACTCAGGCTGTCCTCAAGCAGATCCTCTCCAGCGTGGACCCGAAATACGCGGGAAACGCCGATCTCATTCAGAAGCTGAAAGATTGGAGGTCTACCCAGCCTCTTTGAATTGGAGCTCCTCTCTGGTGTTGTCAGCAGCTGCGCTTGCCGAGTCGTGGTCCAGCATCGTACGTGCGCGCCCAGGACCCTTTCCGTTCTGCGAAAGTTGTTCTTCACGCAGGCTGCAGACTCGGATCTTCACCCACAGGGCTGTATCCACGTTTAGTGCGCTTCAGAGTATGGGAGTGCCGAGAATCTTTCGAACATGTTTAGAGGGTAAAGGCACCAGGTTTCCATTGCGTGGCAATCCACGATGCCCGTCATCGCAAGCTGTAGCGCTCGTTAGCAGCAGCAGCAGCAGCAGCAGCAGGAGCAGCAGCAGCAGCAGCAGGAGCAGCAGCCGCTTGTCTGACCTATTCCCACCTTGTTCGATACAATCATCTCACGCGCTGAGTCAGACATAGTTTGCCCAACTTGCTCGACATTAGGAGCCTTTGGCCAGGCCGATTAGCGCTGCCGCTGGCCAGGCCGACAGTCCGCGGCCGCCCCGCCGCTTGCCGGGGCCCAGCCTGCGTGGAAGAAAGGTATACCCCCCAAAAGGGGTACGATCGAAGACGACGAAGGCGGGTATCGAGGGTTCGGGAAAGATGCGTTAACGGGCTCTCCAGCAGATAAGAGCGAACATTTCTGAAATAATTGTTGAATGTTAACTACTAAATCATTATTGTTGGACCCCCCAGGCGCTTTGGCGCTCTCGCTTCGGCGCCGGCCACATTTTCATTGAAAATGAGGTTCAGGCTCGAGCAGTTTGGGGGGGCGCCAAGACCGGCCCTCCAACGACAACAACAACAACGCTCCCGCTCTAGACTTTCTCCTTTTTTACTCAGGGCCGGTGCTTTTGCCCGCCGCCGAAAGCCGCCGTCCCAACAAAACCAGCGCTACCGCTCGAGACTTCCTCCCGTTTTACCTTTTACTGGCGCGCTGCTGTTTCTCTCATCGGCGCCGCCCCCAGCAAGAACAACGCTCCCGCTTGAGACTTCCTCCCTTTTTACTCAAGGCGGTGCTCCTCCTCGCCGCCGAGAGCCGCCGTCCCAACAAAGCCAGCGCTCCCGCCCGAGACTTCCTCCCGTTTTATACTGGACTTGCGCCCTACTCTCTTTTGAATTGGCGCCGCTCCGAGCAAGAACAACGCTCCCGCTCGAGGCTTCCTCAGAACGGTGCTGCTCCTCGCCGCCGACAGCTCACCTACCGACAAAACCACGGCTCCCGGCTCCAGGAGGAGGAGGAGGAGGAGGAGGAGGAGGAGGAGGAGGAGGAGGAGGAGGAGGAGAGAAGGAGGAG